ATACTAAACTTAATAGACTGGGTGCTGGAAAGAATATTTACCGCCGATTGTTCAGACCCCTCTGTTGCAGCCCTCTCTCCATGCACTCTCGACCCCAAGTATGTCCACCGAGATGAACCGGAGCTACAACAATCTTGGGGGAAAGACGCTCAAACATGTTCGTGCCCGAATAAGCTCCAGGAAAGAATCTGCAATGCACGTGTGCAGAAGCATTTGATGGAGGCCGCATAAGCCGGACAAAGAGTCGACCCAAGTGGGGTTTCGTGATCTAGGGGCTGGCCCGTAAGCTTGTGCAACAGGGCAACTGATCCCTTGATAAAGGAACAAACCCCTTAAATCTGAAATAAGAAGCCACGTAAAATGAGTTCCATGTATACCCTGCGCCTTAGGCCTTAGGCTGTTGGGTCCTTTGCAAACTTTTGCGGGGTTAAGGCTAAGACTTCCGGTTCAGAATCGCGGCAACCGTCTTTAAACCAAGCATACATGCGCAGTGGCAGGCGGAGCAGGGTGGCACGCAGGAATTCCAAAGCCCCTTGAACCGAGGGATAGGAGGCCTTGACAGGTGGAATCATGCATCGCTATGCCATGTTTTTTTCGTTTATTCTTATCATAAGATGCGAATAACAACCATCGTCATTAATACGAATTTTAGTAACAACAAAACTGAACTTTCAGGGAATCTGTAGGAATATCCTGGGTAAGTACTCAGGCTTCTATGTTCCGGGGGCCCTGAAAAGCCTCAACCCTTACGGGGTTTGGGGTTTCGGGTTTAGGGTTTAGGGTTTGGGTTTAACCCTAAACCCTGAACCCTAAAGCCTCAACCCTTACGGGGATGCGTCGAAAAAGGTTTCGCCGCAGTCTATAGGAGTCGTGGGCCCATGTCTTGGGGTCTTCGCTGTTCGCGGGTTTGGGGAACATAGGGGCCTTCAGAATTAGAGTAGGGTTCCGGGGACAAAATATCCTATAGTGATAATAAGGAACCCTGACAATAGCACTGGTTATTGCCCTAAACCCCTAAACCCTAAACCCTAAGTCCTAAACCCTAAACCCTAAACCCCAAACCCTAGCCCTGCAACCCTGAACTTCCAAACCTTAGCCGAGGCCCTTTTTTTATGGGGTTTTGGGGGTGAAAGAGTTTAGGGCTCGGGGCCCCGAGTTTTGTGAGCTTTAGGGCTTAGGGTTTAGGGTTTAAGCTTTAAACGGTTTAGGGTTTAGGGTTTAGGGTTTAGAGTCTATGGTATGTGGTGATCAAACTCAGCGGTGCTACGTCAACCGTGTGAACAACTGGCTACGACAAGCAAGCTGCACAAGCAAGCCAGCAGTGATAACACCAGTCAAAAACAATCATCATGGCCAGCGTCATGCGCAATGCATATCCGGAAAAGACTAGGCGTCCTGTTGTTGTGATGCGGAGGGCAGTAGACCTATAAACCCTAAAAGCCCTAAACCCTAAACCCCTAAACCTAACCCCCTTCTATTCAGCTGCCAAGCTAGGAACCCTAAACCCTAAACTCCTAAACCTTAAAACCCCTAGACTTCAAAGCCCGATTTGCAGAAGAGGCTTCGAAACCAGGCCAGCAGTGTCGGCGGCACACAATCGGGGTCAGACGTGACAGCTGCTCTTTTCAGAGCTTCTGCACAGGCCCACTTTGAGGGCTCACCGGCCGGGGGCAAGACAGGTTCAGGGCCTGGAAGGAATCTGCCAAAGACAGGTGCACTTTCGATGGCAAGATCCTTCTTGATGAAACTATCCTTCAGGGCAACAAGCCCTGGCTGGAAGCGCAAGCTCCAATCCAAAACCCTGAACCAGTAACTTTCAGGGCCCGCGTCTTCGCATTAAGACCTGCCGAAGGAAGATGGGTCGGCCACCAAGTGGAGGCCATCGGCAAGTTGTGATGGCTGGGGGATCCTCTTTCTGAACCTGCAGACTCGCACTTTCGTGTTGGTTTAGGGTTTAGGGTTTAGGGTTGCAGCTGCAAGTAACATAAGAGCCCCGGTGCAGACACTGTTCTAACACGCACATGCGCTGAACAGAATACTGGGCGAAGCTTATGATGAACCCCGTGGACGAAAACCCAACACCCTGGTTAGAAACTCAACGGCAGAAGTATGTGCGGGACGGCCTGCTGCCGGAGGGATTTAGGATTGAGGGGTTAAAACTTCGGGTTGACGGGAATTGACCATGAACCGATAAACCCTAAGCCCTAAACCCTAAACCCTCTCCAAACACGGACTGGTTCCGGAACCTCCAACCCTTCAACTGTTTAGTTAGGGGGTTTAGGATTTAGGGTTGAAGTGTTTAGGGTTTAGGGTCGTTTAGGGGTTTAGGGCTTTAGGGCTTTTTTGGGGGGTCTACAGTAGAAGCCCAAAAGTTGGAAACCCAATAGCCTCAATCCTTAAGAGTCATATACAGGGAATCCCAGCACTAATTGTCCTTAATCCGGTTTCCAACTTTTTGGGGCTTACTATAGGCGTTCAGGGTTTTAGGCTACACATCATCACTTTCCAGGCTTCTGGGTCATCCCAGGGGCGTTTCGACTTCGAGGAGGGCCTTGGGCTGGGGTTTAGGGTTTAGGGTTTAGGGTTCAGGGTTTCGGGTTTAGGGTTTAGGGTTTAGGGTTATAGGGCATATAGGCTCATACCCTGTCCTTTTTTTGGTCACCTACTTTTCTGTATAGCAGATCCTAACTATAGACTTAAGTACCGTAAAAGAAAAGGTAAGGCATGACCCACTAGGTACACCTTATGGAATATTGAGAATAGGGAACCCGGAGCTGAAGGGGTTTAGGGTTTAGGGTTTTAGGGTTTAGGGTTTTGGGTTTGGCAAAACCTTGTTGAGGCTTCTATTTCTATACTAGGCAAGGAACTGCATAGAAGCCTACCTAATGACCAATGTTGCTGTTAGGGCTCCTCATTTTACGTATACTAAAATAAAAAGGAGCCCAAAACCCTATTCTAATAATTTAAATCATGCCCCTACGCTGATACGTATCGTCCATCAAGAGCCGAGCCGTGCAGGGGCGCTGTTAAACTGTTACGGCCCAGGGCCACCAGCTCTCGGAACTTCCCTGATTCTGAGAAGTCTCCGTCAAGCCGGCCTTGTTTAGGTTTAGGGTTTAGTGCTGATAGGGTTTAGGGTTTAGGGTTTAAGGGTTGAGGGTTTAGGGTTTAAGGGTTTCGGGCTTTGGGTTTAGGACTTTCCCGTCTAGTTGGCACTGAGCCAACAAGCCGTGGGCTCAGCCGTCATCTTGGCGAGCAAACTAAAACTTCCAGGTGCGATCGACCCAGCATGCAGCGAATGCCGGGATGTTCTGGCCTTTTGATGGAAGGCCTCCCATAAGGCTCTAAGGACTCATACTTTAAGGCTTTTTGGGCCCAAAGACCCTATTTTTTGTAAGGCTTCTGGGCTACTTGGAGCCTTAGGGCTCCAGTTAAAAGATCCGCTCCCAAGAACGGCAAAGGCTAGCCAGCCAGGCCCTTCGGCGCTGCTCTGGCTAGGAACGTCCGGCTCGGCGAGCCCCAAGGGTGATGCTGAAAGGGTGAGGCCAAAGAGGAAAAGCAGACCCACAAAGGCTGTTTAGGGCCTAGGGATTTTCGGAATCATCTTTGGAGCTCGCGCACATTCGACGAGGCCTCGCTTGCGAGTCGAGGTGTTAGCACTCCAGCACCGCGCGGATGAAGGATTTCCTGCCCAGCTGCACGAGGATAGCAGGGAGGGCACGTCGGGAAGAGGGATACCTCCAAGGCAGGACCATGAGATGCGATGGAACACGCAATCTGCTGATGATCTGACGGACAGCGGGCACCAGACATCCTTCAGAAGCAGAAACCTTGAAGCGCCAGCACCGGAGTTTGCGATCTGATGCCGAGAATAGGTGCCCCGAATGCTAGGCTCGTGTGTTGATTCTTGCTGCAGAGAAGCACGAAGAACCTCACCTGATATAGGATACTATTGATGATATAAATCTTGCAGTACCTTAAGGACCCTAAACTATGGGAATTATGGTGTCTTGCAAAACTTAAGGCACCTATACTACCCTAAACCCTAAACCCTAAACCCTAAACCCTACACCCTAAACCCTAAAACCCTACAACCTACACCCTAAACCCTAAACCCTACACCCTCAACCCTATAAACCCTAAACCCTAAAGCCACTCAATGGGGGGCTTCTGATTTCCGGAATCCTTCGCCAGCCTGCACGGCTGAGACTCGCAAGTCCAGATGGCATTAGCAGACCCCTCCTCCGCCCCTCTTCTACGTGTCTATTTATTATTATGATTATTATTATTATTAATAATAATATATGAATATATGAATATATGTATATATATATATATTTTTTTTATTTATTTGTTTATTTATATGTATATATATATATACGATTATTATTATTATTATTGTATACCAACCCTCAACCCTTAACGAACCCCAAATCCTCAACTCTGAATGCACCCCAAAATGCCTAGACCCCTCAACCCGAAGTCCTAAACTCCAAAACCTGAACCTTTGAAAGGATTGCATGTAGGCGAAGGAAGGAGAAAGTTTAAAGAGCATTTTCGGACGACCTGCGCCCGCTTCTCAAAGCACTGCCGTTGCTGCTCGGAAATGAAAACCTCAACCACACCGGCCCTTCAGTCGACTGGTTGCATATGCCTTAGCCTAAGTGCGCGAGCCAATGTCCGAGTTGAAGCCCTGAAAAGAATGATATAAGCCTGTAAGAATAATAGAACAATGCGTTGGAGCAAAGAAAAGGTGGCGCACTCGCTGTTCCGATTTTTTAGACGCCTGCTTTAGAACACAGATGGGGCTCTTGAACATCGGAATCAGCTTCGCGCACTTGCACAGCTGATGAAGCAGTTTCATCTCTCGAAAAAGCTAGCAGCTGGCGTGCTAACATGGGTGCTGGACTCCAGCTAGACCCAGAAGGAGCTCTATGGTTTAGGGTTTAGGGCCTAGGGTTTATGCCCTAACCCTAGACCCTAAACCCTAAACCCTAAACTTATGGGCTTATGTACTGGAGGTACTCATCGCCCACGACATCCGGTTGTGACCCTTGCATCGGGTTGCTCACAGCAGTCCCACATCTGCTTCCACGCCGGCCTCGCACCTCAGGGTTTAGGTTCCTTTAAAGGGATCTATAAGGGTTCCATTAAAGGGATCTATAAGGGTTCCATTAAAGGGATCTTTAAGGTTTAGGGTTTGGGGTTT